ACAGAGTCTCGCTTTGTTGCCTCGGCTGGAGTTCAGTGGCACGGTCTCAGCTCACTGCAAGCTCTGCCTCCCAGGTTTATGCCATTTTCCCGCCTCAGCCTCCTGAGTAGCTGGGACTACAGGCGCCTGCCACCATGCCTGGCTAATTTTTGTTTTTGTATTTTTAGTAGACGGGGTTTCACCGTGTTAGCCAGGATGGTCTCAATCTCCTGACCTTGTGATTTGCCCACCTCAACTTTCCAAAGTGCTGGGATTACAGGCGTGAGCCACCGTGCCCGGCCATGCCCAGCTAATTTTTGTATTTTTAGTAGAGATGGGGTTTCACCATGTTGGCCAGGATGGTCTCGATTTCTTGACCTTGTGATCTGCCTGCCTCGGCTTCCCAAAGTGCTGGGATTACAGGTGTAAGCCACTGAACCTGGCTTAGGTAATATTCTTAATCCTTTGATGTTCTCATTTCAACAATGTTCACAGCATCTTCACTAGGAGTGGGTTCCAGCTTAAGAAACCACTTTCTTTGCTCATCTGTAAGAAGCAACCCCTCATCCATTCAAGTAACCCATCATCCATTCATGAGGTTGCAGCAATTCAGTCATATCTTCAGGCTCCACTTCTGAATTCTAGTTCTTTTTCTACTTCCACCATGTCTGCAGTTACTTCCTCCACTGAAGTCTTTTTTTTTTTTGTTTTGAGATGGAGTCTCACTCTTGTAACCCAGCCTGGAGTGCAATGATCTCAGCTCATTGCCACTTCTGCCTTCTGGGTTCAAGAGATTATCCTGCCTCAGTTTACTGAATAGCTGGGATTACAAGCACCAGCCACTAAGCCCGGCTAATTTTTGTTTTTTGAGATGGAGTCTCGCTTTGTTGCCCAGGCTGGAGGGAAGTAGCATGATCTTGGCTCATTGCAAGCTCCACCTCCCGGATTTACGTCATTCTCCTGCCTCAGCCTCCTGAGTAGCTGGGACTACAGGCGCCCGCCATCACGCCCGGCCAATTTTTTGTATTTTTTTTAGTAGAGGTGGGGTTTCACTGTGTTAGCCACTGCACTCCACTGCACTCCAGCCTGGGTGACAGAGCACTTGTGCCACTGCACTCCAGCCTGGGTGACAGAGCGAGACTCTGTCTCAAAAAAAAAAAAAGTCCTAGATGGCATATTCTTCCAATAGAAGGCTGTTTCATCTCCATTAAAAATCTATGGCTTGATCTCCTGACCTTGTGATCTGCCCGCCTTGGCCTCCCAAAGTGCTGGGATTACAGGCGTGAGCCACCGTGCCTGGCCCATGATAGGCTAATTTTTGTATTTCTACTTTTTACTTTTATTTTTATTTTTTTTATTATTATTTTTTGAAATGGAGTCTCACTCTGTCACCCAGGCTGGAGTGCAATGGTGCCATCTCAGCTCACTGCAACTTCTGCCTCCCAGGTTCAAGCAATTCTCCTGCCTCAGCCTCCTGAATAGCTGGAATTACAGGTGCCTGCCACCGTGCCTGGCTAATTTTTAAAATATTTTCAGTAGAGACAGGGTTTCA